TCACGACTTACTTCGACTCGTCGCCGCGCGCGAGGCCGCGACCGCCAAAAAGTGCGTGCCCGAGGAGGGCACGACGTCGTCGTCAGCCGTCGTCGCGGTCATCCTTGGGGGGGTGGCTCTGCGCGCACTCCGGGCAGGAGCTGCTCCTGCCTCGGCCACACGCCGCACTCAAGACCTCCTGCTCCTCCTCCTGCTCCTCCTCCTGCTCCTCCTCATCCTCCTCCTGCTCGCCGGAGTGGCCTCTGGTGTCGCGGCTCTCGTGGGGCGCGGGGGGGGCGGCACGCAGGCCGCCGCCGTCGCATCGCAGGCAACGGGGTCGGCACGTCGCGCCTGCACTGGCCGCATCCTGGAGGAGGAGGAGGAGGAGGAGGAGGAGGAGGAGGAGGAGGAGGAGGAGAAGGAAGAGGAGGCCGAGCAGGAGGAGGTGGCTTGGTGCCCAGGCACATCCTGAAGGTCTGCACGATCTGAGGGTCCTGCGGCCGTCACACGGCCTTCCTTCGCCTCGCCCCTCGCCCGCCTGCGCCCCTGCGCCCCCTCCGCTCGCAACAGATGCGTCCCCCTCCTCCCTCCTCCTCCTCCTCCTCCCTCCTCCTCCTCCTCCTCCTCCTCCTCCTCCTCCTCCGACCCCCCCAAAAGAGCAGCCGATCGTCGTCGCGATCCTCGCGGGGCAGCCGGTCCGGAGCGCAGGCCCGTCTCGATCCGCTCTTGCGGTGGCCTCCGCTGCCCAGGCTGTGGGAGCCGGGCTTCTTATGCGGGCGCCTGGCGGCGAGTCCCCGAGCGGTCCCCCTGCGGAGGTGTGATAGCAAGTCCCGGGGGTATGGCCAGGCATGCCGGGGCGCCCAGCGGAGAAGCGATGCCGCTGCCGCCGCCCATCCCTCGTCGAGGAAGAGGTACCCGATTCCGCTGCCCGTCCCTCGCCGCCGCGGCCAGAGAGGTCCAGGGAGTGGCGGTAGACGCTGGGATCGGACGGGGCCAGGTCGAGGATACATCCGTTCCAGAGAGTTCCAGAACGCTCTCTGAGCATTCTGGAACGCTCTGAGAGAGCCGCGGCGCCCGAGACATCCTCCAGAGCCGCGGGATCTCAGAGATTCTCGATTTATCCTCACCCGGATGTATTATCGTCCTGGCTTCGTCTTATGAAAGCAGGAGCAATTCGGGTTCGGATGGGGCTCGCTGCTTCTTGTGGCATTCCTTCCCTGGTTGCGCTGTTGTCGCTCCTCGTGCTCTCGGGCTCTCCTGGGGCCAGAACGGGGCGTTTCGCTCCCCACTGCGTAGCGTCACGTGTGGTCGCAGCTTGACTGCAGTGGCATCCCCAGACCCCCGACGCCATGATTTTGTTCATAGCGTCGATCCCCAGAGGTCTCGACCCGTTCCCTCGGACCGGCTTTCCATCCCGAGCCGTTGTTTGACGGTCCCGAGGCTGGGTGAGGGCCCCCCCAAAGGCAGAGCATAGCGAAATTTGTCCCGCCATTACCAGCCTCGAACTTATCCCTATCCCTAAGATTGACACGCCAAAAGGCGATGACAATCTTTAGGGATGCGCCCTCCAAAAATAAGGGAATCCCCAACATTGGCATCGTGATGAGGAGATGCCCAGCACAGGGATAGGGCTATGTTCCAGGCTGGTAAGCCATGTCCTTGTCGTGACTCGAGGGGGTCTGGGTCGGTACCCGCCTGCCCCCACGAGCGTGACTCGAGACAGTCAGGGTGCCAGCCTCTGCGCGTGCGCTCGGCTGGCAAGGGCACGGCGTTACTGGGAGCTCGGCCTCCCTCGCGTGGGCGTTGCGGGCGTTACTGGGAGCTTTGTGCCTCCCTCGCGCGGGTGTTGCCAGTGCCGCTGCTCGTCTCGTACGGCGGTCGGCTCCCGGCACGGCTGCTGTCGCTCCCAACTGCTTTCAATCCTCGTCCTCCTGCTCGTGTTGCTCTTTTACCCTGCTGCTCCTGCTTCTCTTCCTCCTCCTCCTCCTCCTCTCCCTTCTCCTCCTCCTCCTCCTCCTCCTCCTCCTCCTTCTCCCTGTCGTCGTCGCCCGCCTCTCCTTCTCCTCCTCCTTCTGTTGCTGGTCCTCTTCCTCCTGCTGCTGCTGCTGCTCCTCCTCCTCCGTCCTCTCCTCCTCTTCCTCCTCCTTCTCCTCGTCCCACTATGGGACGCCATGCGCCGTAGGAGCCCCAGGAACCCTCTGTGGATCCCTGAGGCTCCTATTGAAGCCACATTCAAAAATCTTCTCCTCACTCCCCCCACCCCACCATCACGCAACACAACCAAGATGCTCCGCCCCCTCCGCATACGGGCTTCTTACACCAGACGCCGGCGAGCTGGTGTTTCATGTACCGTTTTTCTCGCTCGGGGCGCCTCCGGCCGTTCCGAGGAGGGCGCTCTCGCCTCGGCGCCCGCCGCACTTCCCGCCCCCTTTCTACCACTACTCAATACGAGTGCTCCTCTCCTGTCGCCCCCCCGGGTCTGTGCGGAAGATGCTCCGCCCCCCCTCCCGCGGGTGCCTCTGCGGATACGGTGGGCGTCCGTCGGCGCCCGCCCCCGTCGGCAAGTGGTGAGTCCGTCGTCGTCGTCGTCGACGAAAGCGTCGTCGTCAACGACAGCGACGACAACGAGAACGAACCAGAAAATAAACTTTGGATTTCCGGGGGCCGCCCAGGTCTCCGACGCATCTATTGTTCTGTCCTGCTGTCGTCCTCCTCCTCCTCGTCCTCCGCCTCCTCCTCCCTCCCTCCCCCATCCAAGGCATGAAGGTCAGATACGACACCCGTTTCAGTGCGAGGACAACTAGTCAGCGCAGTGGGAAGCGATGGGAGGGAGGGGCAGGATGTAAGATGCGGCGAAAGCGCACCGTTGGTCCCTCTCCCCCTCCTCCGCCTCCTCCTGCCACTTTCCCTCTTGCCTGCTCCTCCGGGGCTCATTCCTCCACCTCCGCCTTTTCCGCCCCCCCCCCCCCGAAACACCCCCACACACTGACCCCCCCCCTGAGGCCCAGAGACGGACGCCATCATTCCCCGAAAACAAGACGCCCCCCCAGCGCCGTCATGCCTTACCCCCCACCTGCAGCGCGTTGGGGCGGATTCGGTGCCTCCGCCTCCCCTCTCGCCCTTCCCTGGCCTCCTCCCCTCTCGTCCTTTCTCTAGTCCCTCTGAGGGGGGCCCTCATCCTCCTGCCCCTTCTCCTGCTTGCTCCTCCCATTCCCCTTGCTCTCCCCCTCGTCCTCCTCCTCCTCCTCCTTCTCCTCCTCCTCCTCATCATCATCATGCGAAATGCTGGCGCAACATGCAGTTTAATCCTCCTCCTCCTCCTGCTCCTGCTCCTGCTCCTGCTCCTCCTCCTCCTCCTCCTCCTCCTCCTCCCCTTTTCCCTTTCTCAGTAACCTCCGAGGTGTCGGTAGGGCGGGCCAGGCGGGCCCCCTGAGAGATTTCCTTGCCACTCATGGTCTTGAAGCCTGAGGTTTGCAGCAGCCTCACGGATGGAAGGCGGGCTGCTTTTCAACATGCGTCTCTCGCCGTAGCGCCGTGCACGCTCGTTCTGAAAGCCTGCGGCAGCTTCAAGGATGGAGGCCAGGTCCTTTTCCAACATGTGGCGCTCGCCATGCCGCCGCGCGCAGTCGTTTCGAAAGTGTGCGACAGCCTCAAGGATGGGAGGCAGGTCCCTTTTCAAAATGAGGCTCTCGCCTCAGCGCCGCGCGCATTCGTTTGTAAAGGCTTGTAGCAGCGTCAAGGATGGAGGGCGGTCCCTGTTCAAGATGTGGTTCTCGCCTTTCCGCCGCGCGCATTCGCTTCAAAAGCTTGCAACTGTGTCGAGGGTTCGTAGGTTTGAAGTCCCAGAAGGTTTGTCCTGGCACGATGTGGGGTTGTCAGGACGCAACAGTCGACGCTGGTTCGCCGCATTGAAGTCCCAGGAATGGCGGCCTGGTGCGACGTTGATCCGTCAGGGCGCCTCAGCCACGTTTGTTCGCAGCGCTGACGTCCCAGTAACAGCGTTTTGGCACGACTGGGGACTCCCAGAACGGCCGTTTTTCAACAGGGCACCTCTCGCAATGAGCACACAGCTTTCTGTAGGGACCTGTGCAGAGGACACTTGGAGGGGCGGGCTCATTGCATCATCTGGTCCTCCTCCTTCTCCTCTTCCTCCGTCTTCTCCTCCTCCTCCTCCTCCTCCGCATCCTCCTCAAATGATGTATAGTTCAGTTGTCGTGTTCAGTGTGTGTAGTGTCTGTGCAGTTGTTGCGGCAATGTGCAGAAAGCCACATGTTTGCTCTGGTTGTATCCAGCTGCTTGCGGCCAACCCCGCCGCCGTGCCTGTGCAACAGCGCAGCAGGAATGATAGCGAGGGTAGGAACAGCGCAACTCCTACGAGTAGTCTGCAGTGGGGCGGGTCGTTGTTCCGTCTTCGTTATCATCCGCGTGGTAGGGGGGAGGAGGAGGAGGAGGAAGAGGAGGAGGAGGAGGAAGAGGAGGAAGAGGAGGAAGAGGAGGAAGAGGAGGAAGAGGAGGAAGAGGAGGGGAGGAAGAGGAGGAGGAGGACGAGGAGGAGGAGGAGGAGGAGGAGAAGGAGGAGAGGGAGAACATGAGGATGAGGATGAGAAGGCTTCTTGGGGCCTTTTTGGGGGCTTTCTGGGGGCCTGCTGGGAGCTGCCTGAGCGCGTCTTAGGGGCCTCTTGGGGGTCTCTTGGGGGCCTCTTGTGGCCTCTTGGGGGCCTTTTGAGACCTCGTGGGCCGACTTAAGGGATTATTGGCCCGTCTGACGCCTATGGATTATTAGGGGATTATTGAGGTTGAAGCAAGAATCAAGGCGGCATGGAAAAAGTTCGGCTTGTTCAAGCAAGACCTAACTACACGTTGATATTCTCTGAAAGATCGGCTTCGTCTGTTCAATGGCATTGTTGCGCCGACACTGCTTTATGGTTCCAGCTCTTGGACGATGACAATCCCGCTCGAGGCGCGAGTGCGGTCGACGCAACGCCGCATGCTCAGAATGATTATTGGGTCACCTCGACGCCATGGTCCGGAAGCGGCAGGAGGAGAACAATATTTCCACGGATCTGGTGCAGACAGTGATTGTGACAGCGACGACACCCACACCAGCACGAGTAGCACAACCACAGCATCCAGTTCACGCAGTCCGGTGGACCCCCTCGAACCCTGGATCGATTGGATACGGCGCACGATTACGCATATTGAAGGCTATTGCCACCAGATGGGGTATGAAGATTGGTGCGCACGGCAACGGCGACTACAATGGAGACTGTTTGTTTCCACGATCAGCGACAACGTTTGCAAATGGAGCCGGAAGGCGACATTCTGGGATCCAGCCGCGACCGATAAACGTGCAAGGAGGTTGCCACACCGACCCAACAAGAGGTGGCTCGACGACATTGCCAGATTCATACGCACGGCTTCCGGAAAGGACTGGCAAACAATTGCGCCAGATAGTATTCTATGGTCTCAAATGGAGGAACGGTACGTGCAGGGACAACATCGTATTCAAGGTGAGTGAGCTTGCTGGCCGGTTCAGCGTCCTCTTCCTTTTCCTCCCTTCCCCCTTGGTTGTACATTGTTTTACACATTTGTCCGCGCCGACGCGCGACCGCCCCGCCCCTCGTAGGGCCGTCCCTCGTGACGTGAGGGCGCAGTGTCAGTGTCAGTGTCAGTGTCAGACGCCTATGGAGACCGTCTTGGGGGTCCTCTCTGGGCCGCGTTGGTGCCCTCTTGGAGCGGTTCACGGCCGTCTTGCGGCCTTCTTGGAAGCTTGTTGGGCGATCTGTGGGTCCTCTCGAGCCGACTTCGGGCCCTCTTGGGGGCAGCTCGGATTGTCTTGGAGCTATATTGGAGGTCTCTTGGAGGCTTCTTGGTCCGTCTTAGGCGGTGGGAAACCCGAGCAAACGAGAAGCTCACAATTTCGTTAGGACACAACCACAACAACACCTACGGAACATCGATGGTGTTGGCCTCCTCGGTCTCTCCAGGAGGGCCTCTTGGAGATCTCTTGGGCCGTCCTGGGGGATTCTTGATCTGTATCGAGGCTGTCTTGGAAGCCACTTGAGCCGTCTTGGGCCATATTGGCGTCGTCCTGGCTGCCTTGAAAGCCGTCCTGGAGGCCATGAGGTTCTCCAGAAGGCTTTAAGACATATCGATCGGCCCCCAAGACGGCCCAAGATGTCTCCAAGAGGCCCTCCAGGAGAGCCCGAGGAGGCCAGTACCATTGATGATCCTTAGGTGTTTGCAGGGTGTTGAGGTTCTGGCACGTTTGGGTTCCTAACCGCCCAAGATTGCCCAAGTGGCCTCTCTGGGCCGTCTTGTTGCTCTCTTGGAGCGCTTCAAGGCCG